CCCCAAACGTGGCATTGAGTCTGTGGTGCTTACGGAATGGACCGTGGAAGTGACACATTTCCTCTCATCCTATTACAGGATCTGCCTCCAGTGGCATGTGCACGACAGAACACAATGGGAAATCCCCGGGACACTTTCCAGAGTGTCCCTGCAGGTTCCCCGAGGTGAGGGGGAAGCCGGGAGCCTCCGAACAGCCCCACCCGTGTCTCTTTGGGGCCATGACTCTGCGAGGGAGGAGCATCCACACTGAGGGAACAGGTGCCGTGGCAGGGGCCCTGCCCCTTAATGCTGACACCCAGCCCCGTCCAGGCCACCCAGGGGCCTTCAGCCTTCCCGGCCCTGGGACCCTGCAGCCAGCCGCCCTGTGTCCCCGCTCTCCCACGAGAGGCCTGCCCTACAGCTCCTCACTGTCACCTCACACAGAATCACAGACCCCTGTGGCCTCCAGGAGGAGCCACCTGTGCCACATTCACCCTGCCCTGCAGCAGGGCCTGTCCGCCCCGGTGCACCCACACCCATCTGCGGGACATGGCGATTAGAGGAGCCTTCCTTCCACCGAGCCAGACTGAGCCTTCCAGACCACCTCCTCTGGCTCTATCCCCCACCCCAGCCCTGCACTGGTCCCCACCTGGCACAGCGAGGGCCGGGGCCACAGAAGGCCGAAGCAACTTGAGTCCCCACACCACCCACTTTGCCAACTGTGGACACCAGCCTGTGGCGTCCCCTCTCTGGTGCCCAAGAACATGGAATGATTCGTGTGCCAATGGTTATTTTGGGTATCTGAGTTGCTCGAGTAAGACCTGTCTGTCATCCCCCAAGCTCACTTTGAAGGTCTGAGCCACCAAGATGAACCTCCCCACACCCAGGCCAGCCTGCCATGGGGTCCCTGATCCTGGGCACGTGTCCAGAGGGCTCTTGTCCACCAGGATGGCACCAGTAGCATGGAGGGTGAATGAGGACAATCTTCAGCATGCCACCATGTCCCTACAACAATGTACCATGGGTAAGCCTTGTCATCCTTTCAATGTTGCCACCAAAAACTGCAGCTCACCACCTCCGGTAGAGTGAGACCACTACTGAGATTTGTTGATTCAAACGGATCTTGGATGGAGAGATGTCATTGCCCCCTTCCTCCCTCACCCGAGCCAGGGGTGGAATGACAATGACCTGAGGAGGGTTTGACGAGGCTCTGTCTGCTCATCAGACCTGGGGTGCTGCGCTCTGCCCAGCCCTGACGGCCCACGGGAACCGAGGTGCCAGAGCTGGGTCTTCAGGAGGGGTGGGGGCTTCGGGAGTGGCAGCCCCCCACAGAGCCATGGAACTGGGAGAACTTGGCGTGCATGGCTTTTCTCTGAATTATCAATCTGCTCTGGGCCAGACTCTTCTCCACAGGATAGAGTTGGAGTTATTGCTTCTATGACAGGTGTTCCAGAAGCCTGGGTGGCTTTAGAGTCTGAGAAACGCGGGCCGGCAACTTAGGTTTCTGGGTCTGTGGGGGGCGTCTGCCTGCAGGACACAGACACCCACAGGGTGGGCAGGGCCCACGGAGGCCTTTGGAAGCATTCCGGGCTGTGCTCTATTCTACGGTGGCAGGCAGGGGAGGCATGCGAGGGTGGGGCAGGGAACACACTGCATCGTCGAGCAGGGCCAGAGTGGGTGTGGGCTTTTCTTCATTTTTGGTACGAGTAAACAGGCAGCACCTGTAATGGGTGCACTATTTACAGAGCCTCTTAAATAATTTAGAGGGAATCCTACCCAAATGGCTCTAACATTTGTACATGAATATTGTACACGATTAAAAATAAATAAGGCAATATAATACAGTTTTATCACAAATAAAAAGGAAGTTGTTTTCCACCAAACCCCAAGGAACATTATGGCTAAACACAGTTCCTGAACTCCCAGGAAGCAGGTGGGGTTTGGAGTTGCTGATGATGGAGATGTTTGCCCCGTGACGTGGGGACCTCGCCAAGGCTGCTGTGGGGTCCATTTCAGAAAAGTCGTGTGCCCAGGGGAGGGAGTGTGGTCCCCGGGATGGCTTCCTCCTGCTGCTGCGTGACCGACCTGCCTTGAGTGGTGGCACAGATGCACACGTGTGATCTCCCGGCTCTGTGGACCCCAGGACGGACGCCGTGCGGCAGCTGGCTCCTTGCTCCGTCTCACAGGCCAGACCGAGGTGTCACCAGGCTGGGCTCTGCTCCTCCTGCAGGCTCCAGGCGAATCTGCTCTGGGCTCGCTCACGCTGTTGCCAATTCAGCTCCTGTAATGTGGGAGCGACGCGTCCCCACTTCCTTCCTGGCTAGGGCTGGGGTTGTCAAGTAGCCTCGGGCATTGGCTGTGGCCACTAACGATGGTGCCATCCCTGTCATGCTTCAAATCCTTCCAGGCTCTTCTGCCTCCCTCGTCCACTTCCAAGGGGCCATGTGGCTGCACTGAGCCCACTCGGGTGTTCCTGCATCCTCTCCCATCCTAAGATCCCTAACCTTAATTCCGACTGCAAAGTCCCCTTTGCCAAGTGACAGAGACTAGCCACAGGGCCTAGGTCTAGGGTGTGGACACCTCTGGAGGCCACTCCTGTCTACCCCCTACCCAGGCAGCCTGGGGCGGGCAGCAGCACTGGCTGTGCCAGTGAGGCTCCCTGTAGGGAGCGGCCGGCAGCTGGGCGCCAGCCAGGTGCTCGGCTTGTGGAGAGCTCAGATGGACCCCAGACCTTGTGATGAGCCTGCCTGTCCTTAGGCGGCCTCGCAGGCAGCCCAGAGATTCTGCACAACCGTAGGCTCCTGTGGACGCCCCAACAGTGGCCAGAAGCCCCCACTAGCATCTCCTTCTGCCCTAGGGCTTCTTGGGAGCCCGGCCCGCACTGGTGATGCCAGAACACCAGGGAGCACAAGTAGACGGTGACATGAGAACCACACGAAGAAGACAAAAGATGCCCATTCTCCACCCCTAAACTCTCCAGGGTAGCCAGGGGGTGGCCTTCCCTGGCCTGGGAGCTCCCTGCTGCAGCCAGGAAAGGCCATGGGTCAAAATCACTCTCAGGAAGGTGCCAGGAGACCTTCCAGCCCCTCTGGCATCACAGAAGCCACAGCCCGTCCCGGAGAGAGAGAGAAGAGCAGACGGGGTGTGCTCCCCACGGCCCCTCCAGCCTGTGGTCCACAGCCTGCATGAAGCCTCTTCCACTGCCCCTGCCAGAAGCCGCCCACCCTATCTGCTTCTGGCCTGTGTCCTGCCTGTGCTAGAACCCCCCCCACCAGCCCCAAGTCCCTCTGGAACAGGCACCTGGCCAGCCCCAACCCGGCTGCCCTGCAAAGCCCCCAGGCCTGGCCTCCCCAGCTATGGCTGAGGCCCCTGCTGTCCCTGCATGGCCACACGGCCGAGCCAGGGTCACCCTCCCCATGTGGGAGGCCATGTCTAACATGCCATGGTGGGAACGGCTGGAGGACATCAGTCCAGAGCGGACCCCACACAGGCCTACACTCCAGGGAAGGAAGTTGGGGTTGTTCTCTGCTCCTATTCTGAAAAGTCAGGACCCCTGAAAGGGAGTAGAGCCCTTGTGGAGCAATGAGGAGAGGGACTCCCCCGTCCCCCAAGCCAGCTAGCTGTGAGCAGAGACAGGCTCAGGCCTCCCCTGTAGTCCACAGAAACCTCTCTGAGCACATTTCAGAGCGGCCGGTCCCCAGAACCTTTCCTCCCATCTCCAGCTGCCTTCCTCCCTGTGGCCGAGGTCCGGGGTCTCCACGTGCCAGGACTTGCCTGGCTATTTCTGGCCAGTCCCATCCCACCGGCTCTCCCGGGCCCCTGAGCCCCTCATCCTCATCTCCGTCATGATCACCTAGACATGCAGGCGGGGTTCCCAGATCTTGACACGATCGCCTGCAGTCACGTTCCCTGCAAGCTGGAGCAGGGACACCCGGACTCAGGACCATAAGCCGACTCTGGCTCTGCCGGAGAACCATCTCCCATCAAGGAAGCCTGCTCAGGGGCGTGAGGGCCACTCCTTTCCAACATGCATGCAGCGCGCACTGCTGCAAATGTACAGGACCCGTGGCACCACAGAGACAAGGAAGAAATGACACCCATGCCTCTCCTCCTTTGAACAAACACAGCAGAGACGTGCAGCACGGGGAACGTCCAGGTTCCGCAGGAGCCAGATCCAGCAGGCGGCGCGGCTGGGGAACACACAGGCAGAACGAGAAGCCGACGCCAACCGTGATTATGGAGACGGGGCTGGGGCCCCCGAGAATTGCAGGAGACCTACCTCCGGCTTTGAGCAAACCGCCACTCTGCGGCAGGGCGGTGGCCCCACTATGCACGCTGTGAGAGGCAGCTTCTCCAGTCTCCCCACACCGTCCAGTACGAGCGCTCAGTTCCGTGCTGCGCGCAGTGTGAACAGCCCCAGCCCACAGAGGCCTGCCTCCCCACTCTGGCTCCCGAAGCCGCTGCCCAGGGGGGACCCGCCTCGGCTGGGGGGGCACAGAGCTGTCTCAGGGCACACTGGGCAGGCCCCTCGGCCACTCTGCCAGCCAGACCTCCACAGCTGTCGCCGTAGCCCCGGCGGATGTTCTCAATTCCTGACACTGACGCCCACCTGGCCAAACCCGCAAAGGCCTGCTGGAAAGAGACGGTGCTCCCTCTGCCACAGAGGGGAAGGACGGGGTGGACACACCTCCGGCGAGGCCTGGATGTGTGTGCAGACAGGTGTCCTTCCTCACCAAGTCACCGCTGTGCTGCTGCTGCCGGGTTGTGGCCCTCGGGCCACGGCCATGCCTCGACAATGCTCCTCTGCCAGCTGGCTGCTGCCCGCCTGCTCCGCTGGTCTGGCTCGTCCTGGCTGGAGCCGCAGTGGCCTGTGTCGCCCCAGAGCATTCCCGCCCTGTGTGCACCCCCGAGGCCAGCATGGGCTCCGTTAAGCCTCCTTCCCAGCTGCCGTGGAGGGCACGTACTGGCTGGTGGGGGGCGGGGGGAGCCCGGCCCTGACTGGGAGCCCAGCCGTGGGGCACATGGGGGGGTGTCTGGCCTGAAGGCCGGCTCTCCCGTAAGGACACATTTTTCGCTCCAAGCCTAGGCACCTGGTCTGGGAGCCATTTCCATCAGTCCTGCCTTCCAAAAAGTACGTCAACATCTCGCCCTTGCCCTTGACACTGACTTTGCCTCTGCACACGAAGTGGTAGGAGCACCTCCTCAGCAGCCGGTGGACCTCCTCAGTCACCTGTGGGCACAGAGAAGCGCGCATTACAGGCAAGAAGGGTGGTCTTCTGGGGATGGAAGCTCCACTGTGTGTCTGGGAAAAGACCAGAACATTCCACCCTGTCCCTTAAACTGTCCCCAATTAGCCACCGTCATGCACCAGGGGACTAGCCTTCCCTCAACACCCCCGGGGCCAGCAGCTCCCAGGCAGGCAACTGCAGGGCTGGGCGGCCTCACAGGCCCCAGCTGACCCACGTGGGCGCATCCCGGTGGTCATCAGGACAGGGTCAAGTTTCCAGTTTGTTCTAAGGGAAATCCCAAGAGCCAGACCACACACCTCCACACTGAGGAAAAGCAAAGGCTGCAGCCTTCCAGAACTTTCTGTGGCTCCTGGAAGATAACATGGCCACCCACTGGGTATCATCCCACCTGAGCTGCCCAGAAGTTCCTCGGATGAGGTGAGCACCCAAAGCAGCCTCCCTTCAAACAGGGGAGAAAGCTCTTCCCTTCTACGGAAGCCAGGCGGGGCGGGGAGGGACTCGAGTCCTGGCACATGTGGAGGGAACAGCAGCCAGGCCGTGGGGTGTGGCCACACGCGCCTGTGACTCAGTGCTCTGGAGTCTGCGCCTGGTCACTCAGTCCAGCCCCTAAGGCCACACGGCAAACCAGACAGCACACTCAAACCGCCCAGCCCAGAAATGCCCTCGAGAGCAGAAAGATTGAGCTACGCAGCTAGGTCAGCCCTACCACTTACTGGCTGCAGACCTGGGGTTCAACCCTTGACTTCTTGTGCCTCAGTTTCCTCACCTGCAGAATGGGCACCTGTGCCCTGGGATTTCTGGGTGAACTGACCTGGATTCTGCCCTGGACCCCAGTGCTGTCCATCCGACTGGCCACGTTGACCGTGTTTCCCCAGATGTCGTACTGAGGCCTACGCGCCCCGATCACTCCGGCCACCACGGGGCCGACGTTGATGCCTGGAAAACAGCGACGGCGTGGCCTATTGTCAGCTGGAAACATGCAACTTGCCCTGCGAGGGCCACCCAGTGTGCTTGATGCTGCTCGTTCCAGGGGCCTTTTGGGGTCACCTAGTGCCAAGCCCTTCCCTAAAGCACCCACACAGCTCCACAGAGAGGCGCTGCAAGCCTCACCTGCTCGCGGCTGCCCGGCGGTGGGGTGGCACCCTAGTGACCTGCCTGCTGCACCGGGCAGCAGCGCTGCTCATCGAAAATGATTCCTGATCCTGGGGGAAATCCCATGTCCTGGAACATTGGCCCCTGTGCTACGTCCTGCCATAGAAGCCACTCAGAAATCCGACCTTTTGGTCTCTATGACCCAAGTGCATCCTCTTTCCCAGAAAAACAGCTGCTCCCAACCTTTCTCAGGCTGCACCTGTGGCTGTTTTAGGGTGCGGGTCCCAGAACTGAGCACAATGGTGCAGGATGCTCTGACAGGACCGGATGGAGGACCCCTTCTTTTTGTGTAGCTCAGGACCCAACTGGCCCCTGGGTGGCTGCAGACCAGATGGATGGCATCACAATGACCCCAGGGGCACCCGAGTTTGAGTCACCCCTTGTGTAACCTTCAGCAATGTGCTCTTTCTGGGCCTGGGCTTCCTCCCCTGTAAATGGGGCACACACAAAGCTGTGACACCCACCTGTCCTTGGTGGGATGTCATGAGGGGGGTGGGGTCCAGCACGCCATCAGCTCTGTTAGTACAGCCAGCTATGGCCACTTCTTGCAGCTAGGGCTTTCTGGCCCAGGCTGAGGCCATATCCTATCTTCCTTTTCTGTGTTTGTGGACTAATTTTTCTGAGCTTGCCCTAGTTAATTCCCCTGAAGTCCTGGATGTGGTGTGGGAGGAGCGTGGGGGGCGGAGGGGATAACAGTGTGAGCTGGGGCAGGTGGGCATGGGAAACCTAGAGAGGAACCCCAAAAGGCTACTTCCTGGATGGCTGATGGGACTGGGGAGCCCCTATGCTAACCATAGACACCCCCACCTATAAGCAGGAGATGGGGCCAACGTCACCATGCTGGGTAGAAGGGTCTCCGCATGGCCAGGCACTGAGCCACAGCCGCAGGGCTCCCTGTGGGAGGGCAGGGAATGGGACATCCCTGACCCCCATCACACCTGTTTCCCGACTGATCGGCACCCAGGGCTCAGCGCTCAGTGGACACCATGCCTGAAACACAGCTTGCTCTCCAGGACATCAGAACTCCACCACCCTTCCCACTCAAACACAGCTCCAGGGCTGGATTTTAAGGCCATTAGCTGTTTGAATTCTAGAACAACCATAAAATGCTATTTTAACTGTATCCTGGACTAGTGGGAACTTTTATGGTAAACTGTCTACATCTTAGAAAAAAGTGAATTTAGGATTTAAAAAGAACCCAACAAACCATAGTTTTGTACAAGCTAGAAAGGAACTTGGACATCCAATGGTTTTCCCTTCACAGGCAAGGGAAGGAGCCCAGAGAAGACAAGGGCCCGCCCGAGTCCACACCGGCGGGCTTCCGCCAGCCCAGGCCTCCTCTGGGCAGCCGGAGCAGCCCCACTCGGTGCTGCCAGGGCCGGCCGAGGGGAAAGGCGAGATTTCCCTGCAGGTAAGTGTGGACTCGGAGGAGCCTCTGAAAGTCTCCAGGACAACTGAGACTTCCAATGTGTTTCATGAGCTCAGGGCAGTGAATCTTCAAAGTCCTAAGTCACTTTGTGAAGCATCCCACTTCCACAAGCAGCTTTCAGGGACAACCCTGTTCACGTGTCCCCATGTTCTCCTGATTGACACCTTCCTTCCTTCAAGGCACCCGCCAGCTGATCCTGCCCTAGGAAGGCACAGAGAGGGTGTTCTACGCTGATGGACAGGGTAGGCTCAGAGCCTCATACCAACTCGGAGGACGAAGTCGTTGTAAGACTGGTAGTTGATCTCATCCAGGACATCAAACATCTCAATGGCAAAGTCCGCCAGTGTGCTCAAGTGGGAGGAGATGGATTTCTTAGCCTAGGCGTGAACAGACAGGGATCATTACGTTTGGGGTCACCAGCCAGGTTGGGGGCAGGGACCCCTACTGCAGGTGTGGGACTGGGGACTTGATTCCCATATCAACAGCTCAACAGGCCCATGGACTGAAGATGTTCTCAGTGCCTAGCTGGGGTACATCATTCTATTCTACAGGTAGGAGACTGATGTATTGCCCAAACCCTGGCTCCTGAGGGGCAGAGACAGGACTCACCTGAGGCTGTCTGTGAGGGGTGGGGGTAAGGGGGTAGCCCTGTGAGCATGAGACCAGGTATCCAAACTCCTGCTTGGACAATGTTGTCAGTGCCCATTGCAAATGAGCAAAGCAAAGACAGAGAGCCATGTCAGATCTTGAAATTCATTACATTTTTCTGTATGTGTCTGACAAGGTGAAACAGTGACAGTTGTAAGGTTTCTAATTCTTATTTTTTAAGGAAATTTTAATAGTCCTTAAAATCAGGGAACTAATGCTTTTTTAAATGGATGTATTTTATTTTTTAGGACAATTTTAGGTTTACAGGTCAACTGAGCAGATAGTAAAGAAAGGTTCCCTGCACCCCCTCTTCCCCCACATGTAGTTTCCCTATTGTTATTATTTTGCATTAGTGTGATACATTTGCTACAACTGATGAGCCAATACTGACATATTATTACTAACCGAAGTCCATAATTTACATTAGTATTTACTCCTGGTGTTGTACATTCTGTAGGTTTTGGCAAATGTATAACAACATGTATCCATTATCACAGTACTATACACAGAAGTTTCATGGCCCTAAAAATCTTCTTTGCTCCTTTCCCCTAACCCCCAGCAATCACTAATCATTTTACTGTCTCTATAGTTTTGCCTTTTCCAGAATTTCATATAGCTGGAATCATATATTACACAGCCTTTTCAGACTGGCTTCTTTTATGTAGTGATGTGTATTTAAGGTTCCTCCATGTCTTCTCATGACTTGGTAGCTGATTTCCTTTTATCACCTACTAATATTCCATTTTATGGATATACCAGAATGTGTTTATCCATTCACCTATTGAAGAATATCTAGTTCGCTTCCAGGTTTTGGTGATTACAAATAAAGCTGCTATTAATTTTCATGTGAAGGCTTCTTTGTGGACATAATTTTCATCACATTTGGGTAAATGCCAAGAAGCACAATTGCTGGGTCCTACAGCAGCACTATGTTTAGCTTTGTAACAAAGTCAAACTGTCTTCCAGAGTGACTGAGCCATTTTGCATTCCCACCAGCAATGAATGAGAGTTCCTGTTGCTTCACACCCTCACCGGCATGCATCTTGTCAGTGTTTTGGATTTTAGCCATCCTGGTAGGTGTCTTGTGGTGTCCGATTGTTTTAACTTGCATCTTCCTAATGACCTATGATGCTGAGCATCCCTTCACATGCTTCTTTGTCACCTGTATAGTTTCTTTAGGGAGGTGCCTGTTCAGATTGTGTGCACACTTTTTAACTGCTTTTTTCTTATTGTTTAATTTTAAGCGTTCTTTGTATATTTTAGATCAAAGTCCTTTATCAGCAGATGATTTGCAAAAAGATTTTCTCCTAGCCTGGGACTTGACTTTTCATTCTCTTAACAGTATCTTTCACACAGTAATAATTTTTAATTTTAATAAAATCCAACTTACCATTTTTTTTTCATGGATCATGTTCTTGGTGTTGTATTTCAAAAAATCATTGCCAGAGTCAAGGTTATCTAGATTTTTCTCCTTTGTTACCTTCTAAAAGTTCAACAGTTTTGCCTTATATATTTAGGATTATCCATTTTGAGTAAATTTTTGTGAAGGATATAAGGTGTGCATCTATGTTCCTTTTCTTGCATGTGGATGTCTAGCTGTTTCAGCACTATCTGTCGAAGAGACTCTCTGTTTGCCATTGTATTGCCTTGGCTCCAAAGTCAGAGACCAGTTAACTCTGTTTGTGTGGGTCTGTTTCTGGGTTCTCTATTCTGTTCCATTCATCTATTTGTCTACTGTTTTGATAATGCCGCATTCATTGTCTTGATAACTGTAGCTTTACAGTAAGCCTTGAAGTTGGGTAGTGTCAGTCTTCCAACTTTGTTCTTCCTTGTCAATATTGTGTTGGCTGTTCTGGGTCTTTTTTCTTTCCATATAAACTTAGGATTAGTTTGCCAATATCACAAAATATTCTGCTGGGGTTTTAATTGGACTTGTATTAAATCTACAGATCAAGTTAGGAAGAACTGACGTTTTAATAATATTGACTCTTCCTTTGCAGGAACATTGAATCTCCATTTCTTTAGATCTTTGATTTATTTCATCAGATTTTTGTTGTTTTCCTTATATAGTTCTCGTATATATTTTGTTTGATTTATACCTCCTATTTCACTTTTAGGGTCTAATATAAATGGTATTGCATTTGTAATTTCAAATTCCAATTGTTTGTTGCTGGGATATAGGACAGTGATTAACTTTTATATATTAATTTTGTGTCCTATAACCTTAGTTCTGGAAGTTTTTTTTTTCTCTTTCATTGTTGTGTTGCTGTTTTTGAGTCTTTCAGATTTTCTCCATATACAGTCATGTCATCTGCAAACAGATTCCTTCCCAATCTGTACACCTTTTATTTTCTTGTCTTATTGCCTTAGCTAGCACTTCCAGTATGATACTGAATAGAAGCAGTAAAAGAAGATATTCTTGCAATGCTTCTGATCATAGGGAGAAAGCATCTACTTTCTCCCCATTAGGCAAAACGTTAAGCTGTAGGTTTTGTGTAGATGTTATTTATCAAATTGAGGAAGTTTCCGTCCATTCCTAGTTTACTGAGCGTTTTTATCAGGAATAGGTGTTAGATTTAGTTAAATGATTTTTCTGCATCAACTGATATAATCACATATTAATGATTTTTCTTCTTTATTCTGTTAATTTGATGAATTTCATAAATTTATTTTAGAATGTTAAACCAGCCTTGCATATCTGGAATAATTCCACCTTGGTTTTCATGTCTAATTCTTTTCACTCATTATTGAATTCAATATGCTAATGTTTGTTGAGGATTTATGCATCTATAGTCATGAGAAATACTGGTCAGTAATTTTCTTTTCTTATAATGTCTTTGGCTAGTTTTGTTTTTTGGAGGAATGCTGGCCTCCACTTCTATCTTCAGGAAGGGATTACAGAGAACTGGTATAATTTATTCCTTAACTATTTGGCAGAATTCATCAGTGAATGCATCTGGGCCTGATGCTTTCTGTTTTGGAAGGTTATTAACTATTGATTCAACATCTTTAATAGACATAGGTCTATTCAGGATGTTTATTTTTATTTATTCATAGTTCTGCTTTGGGAAAGGAGAGTGCAGGGCTGGAGGGAAGAGAAGAGAGCGGGCCAGAGGGGAGGGCACTGTTGGAAGGGGCTGGGGCTGGAGGAAGCCCCTGTGACCGTCCTTCTGTGCTGACTGTCCCCTAGGAGATTGTGTCTGCAGAGAGCCAGCCACTGACAAAACAGCCTGTGAGCCGCTCCCCTAATCCAACTCAGAGGGAAAACAGACCCCAGCATGGAGACCTGCCCGGGGTCTCAGAGCAGTCTGGGGCGGGGCTGGGACCGGGTCTGCAAGCAGGCAGCCAGATCCTGAATGACACTCACCTTGGCCCCCGAGGTGGGCGCCAGCCCCACTGCGGCCATGTAGGTGCTCCCGATGGTTTTGATCTTCTCTAGGTCCTTGTAAAAGTCTTTGTCCATGAGCTTTGTTTAAAACACAAAACTGTTAAACATTACATAACATTTGAGAAAAGTCAGCACAGCCGTCAGCCACTAGGAAAACAGCATGGCTGACGAACGCAGTCTGGAAAGCCTAATGTCTTGTTTTGGGCACCACACAAATTCTGGGACTACACTGAAAAGAACAGGTGAGGAGGGACAGCACAGGACGTGCCCCTGTTCCCCACAGCTGAGCTCATGGTCGTGGGAGAATCGGGTCCCCAGTGGAGGAGCTGGTGGGGCTAGTGCGACACCCACTGGCTGGAAGTGCCTGGGGGTCCCCCTGCCCACCCATCGGCAGACGATGTGCTCAGCCCTGGCCGCTGCAGATGTCTGAGCCCTGATGTTTACAAGGCGGAGGACAGGAGCCCTGCCCTGCCTGGTGGCCCTGGTCCCCTATCCTGGGGTAGAGACCCCCTTCTTACTGTCATGGTGGATCTGGATCCCGAAGGAGACAGAATGCCTGTGCTTCCTGCCCATTCCATCTACAGGGAACGTGACAAGCTGCTGAACATGCAGGATTTCATCAGGGGAAGGAACACCTGTGTCGCAGGGTGCACGCCAGGCCAGGCAGGGCCAAGACAGCGAAGCGCAGCCCTCACCTTGTCGAAGTCAGCGATGATCTCGTTGAGCAGCCGCAGACACTCCACCCCCATGTTGTTGCCGTCCAGCTCGATGTAGAAGTCATTGAAGTTGGGGATGGAGGCGAACATGACGCCCACCTGGGAGTAGGACTGGTAGTAGAGGTCCTAGAAGGTCAAAGGACAGGTCAGCCCGGCAAGTGCCCAGGGAATGGCCAGAGCAGGGCTGGCTGGTGGCGGCTGGGCGGGCGCTCACCATGTTCCGGGGGTTGGACATGAGGAAGTGCTGGGCCACGTGGGCGGGCAGGAGGTTGAAGAGGATCCTCCTGTTGTCCAGCTTCACCCTCTCCATGTCCTCGCGCTCCTCTTCTGCCTGGGGGTCGAGAGCCGTGGTCAGCCCCGCCCATCCACGCCGCCCTCACCCCCCACCCGTGCGTCTTTCTAAACCTTCACACTGGACACCCAGTGTGCCCTGCCCTGCACCCGGGCTCCTGTCCCTCCTCCCCACCTGACGGCAGCACTGTGTCCGTGCTACCAGGCCGGGAGAATCCACAAGCGTCTGCACAAGACACCACCCATCTGCTGGAACATGCAAAGAACAACTGCCTTGCCCCACTTCCAGGGCCTGCCCTGTCCTAGCCTCCTCTTGGGGACCAGAAGCCACCACAGCTCTTTCTGATGCACACGCCCACCACAGGCTGCACCAGTCCCCAGGCAGCCCCCGACGTGACCCCCCCTAGAATGTCTGGGGGCTCCTTGTTTCCTCTGGGACCTCTCTGGCCTCCACCAGAGGGCACGCCCCTCTGGGCACTGAGACGGCGAGAGCTGTGCGGGCGGCGCCAACCCCAGCGCTTCCCCATCAGCCACAGGACCCTGCGGAGACTGGTTACTCCGACAGTGACAGCCTGCTCAGGGGCCACTGTGAGGGCACGAAGGGTGCCACTGGCTGTGATGTTAACAGTGTTTTGACGAAAACTGTGTAACTGAATATGCTTCAGTTAAAAACAAAATCTATTCCACACAGGTTGCACTAATTTGCACTCCCACCAGCAGTATAAGAGTATTCCTGTCTCTCCACATCCTCACCAGCATTTGCTGCTTTGGGATTTTTTGATAAAGGCCATTCTCACTGGGGTTAGGTGATATCTCATTGTGGTTTTGATTGGCATTTTCCTAATAATTAGATATATTAAGCATTCTTTCATATGTTTGCTGGACATTATTCTGTCTTCTTTTGAAAAGTTGATGGCAGCACAACAACCCAAGTGCCTGTCAATCCACGAGTGGATTAATAAAATATGGTATCTGTAAACAATGGACTACTACTTGATTATAAAAACCCGCGTGGATCTAGCACCTCTCATATATTCCTGGATAGAGCTTGAGCCCATCCTCCAAAGTGAGAATGGAAGAATAGGCATCATAAGAATGGAAGAACAGGCACCACATGTACTCACCATGAACTTGGCACTAACTGATCAACACTAAGGTGCTCACACAGTAGTAATATTCTTTGGGGGTTGGGGAGTTGGTGGTGGGTAAACTCACAACTAGTGGACATGAGCGTTGTAGGGAGTAAAGGGCACGCCTCAAATCATGGTTTGAGTGTGGCAAAGTCATAACATATAACCAAAATGTTTGTACCCCCATAATATCCTGAAATAAAAAAATAAATAAATAAAGACAAAATCTAGGCTTATCACACTGTGATTAAAAGATCTGGTTCTAATTCTGCTTATTTCAGCATCCGGATTAATGGGCTATTGAATAGCTGTCCTAATCATCACATACCTCTTAATCCACCCACAGATGCCAAGGTTTCTGTTGAAATGTGACTGATAAACATCCATCTTCCCTGTGCCAGTTATTTTTATGAATTAAGCATAAGTTGCATAGTTATATGTTTTTAACAAATAAGATGAAAATCCTCTGAAATTCTCAATTTATAAAATTTTCCAATCAGGACGCTCTGTGGGCAACACACATTATTCCTGTTAACAAAGTCACGTGATAGAGACACATCCAGCTTCCGATTTCGAAATGTCCCCTTCCAGTGTCTTTCAGAGGCATTTCCCTCTCACGTGCGCTTATGTTGCAGGAATTATTGATCAGGGCACATCTATTGATAGTTATGTGGCATCTCAGAGGAGGTCGCAATTTGCGGGCACTTGTCATTTGGGAAAGAGAACAAAACAACAACAAATAGCATAACCTGACAGCTCCCTGGTACGCTGACACACGCCGTGGGTGACTCTCACGCACGCAAAATCCCAGCAGAGGATTCAGTCCAACTACACCAGCGACCCCGACCCAGCGCCTGGAGTCAACATGCTCACTACAAGGGAACAGCCCTGTCCTCACTCTGTCTGGGAAGCGACGTCCCCACCTCCCTCCTGCAAGTGACATGGGGCATCTGCCCAAAGTCGGACTGCCATTGCCAGATCATTCCTCAGTATCAGGAAAGAACATTTCTGAATTTTCAGATGCAGCCACTATAAATAGGTTTCCTGAGGCCCTCTCCCAAGGCCCCGCTGAACCACTTTTGAGGTGCACACACCCTCCTTTAGGGGCAGCCTGCTCTATTAACACCTCCTTTTGGGGAAGCTAGGACAAATGGTGGCAGCTGAGACAAAAGCCTTCAGCCCCTAGGTTAGAGGAGCTTAGTGTCTAACTTTGGGGCCGAATCACATGTGCCTCCTTTGATAACTGGTATTTACTCAACGCACAGACCGGAGCATGAAGGTCAAAGATGGGACACATCTCTGTACAGTGTTGCTGTCCCAGGACTGAAGAGTCTTGCAGGGGTCCTCAAACTACAGCCCGCAGGCCACATGCGGCCCACCGAGGACATTTATCCAGCCCGCTGGGTGTTTTTGCCACCGCTGCCTGTCCTGCTTAGCAGCCAACTCGTCCCGGGCCCGCAGAGCGCATGGGTGGAACGTGTACCGCACTCTCCAGCGGCCCTCCAACGGTCTGAGGGACAGTGAACTGGCCCCCTGTTTAAAAAGTCTGAGGATCCCTGGTCTTAGGTCAGGGTGGCTTTGGCTAGGGCAGGCCAGGCAGGGTGCATATGTCAAGAATAGCCTGAAATTTGGGGGGCAGGGTGGGGTGGGACACCCCTGCCCTCAGGAGCCCTTCCATGCTGTGGGACTGAGGAACCTCTAGGGCCCACCAGCCTGGAAGAAAGCTACACCAAGGCACATCAAGTATTTAAAACCACTGATAAAGAGAAAATCTTAAAAATACAGATTTTTAAAAAAATTACATGTAGAGAAGCAGTGTGTTCACCCCAGTGAAAGCTATTTGTGAGGATGTGCTCACCCAAAGCCCAGATGTGACACCTAATAACAGAACAAAATGATGACTAACATGGGTATAGCACTTCAGTGTCCACAAAGCATGACTGTGGCTTCCATGAAGCGAACCCCCCCTCCCCCGCTCCCCCGGCAACCCCATGAGACGAGTGTTACTGTCATGCACATAGAGAAACAACACTAGAGAAAATAAGTGACTGCAGAGGGGGCGGAACCAGGTCTCCAACTCAGCTTCTACTGCCAGGTCTGTGTCACGACCAAACCTCTGGCAACCTTCACTCTCCATGTTAATAATGGCGACCGCAAAATAGGAATTGCCCTCGAATTAAGCATTTACTGGAAGAGAAATTAAGTTGTTTTAACTACGTTGATATTAAGTGGCATAAACATTGAAATTATATTTGTCATAGTGATCATCTACTGAGTTCAAAGAAAAAAATAACACCGGAACAAAAGCGTCCCAACGGTTAAGGCTAAAGAAGCCGAGGATGTCGTCACAAGGGACAGGCCCATCTGTTCATGTAGGTTTCTGTGACCAACCTGTCTATGTAAATAATTCACCCACCTAGTCTTTGGCCTGGCAATTTTGCAATAGTTTGAAGCACTTTGATGTTTGTACAACATGTCTAAATATCCAAAGAGCAAACAAAGTCTAGAAGGTTCCACATTTTGCTGGAGTTACAGATAAGTGGGTGGCATTTTTCGTTAGGCCTCTGTGGAAAAATACATCGGTGTGTCCCATTTAGGCAACCCTTCCCTCTTGACACACATGCATGAGGACCCACAGGCTTACCTGGGCTGCCCCGAGGCCTGGGAATGTGTTCTCACCCTGACATCGTGAACAAGCTCAATACAGAGCGGGCATTGCTAGGGGGTGTCATTGGAAGGAGAATCCCATGGCAGGGTCTGATATTGCATTTAATAGCATTTAAAAGGACACCAAAGCGAAGAAAAGGCCATGCCAACCCAGACGATCGAAAATGCCTCCGTCAGAGAGTGTGCTCCAACTGGAGGAGTCACGGCAAGGCCCCACTCTGCCCTGCGAGAGTAGGGAGCCAGCTGAGCACCCTACTAAACAACCCGGAAACCTCGATCTTGTTGGCCCGGGCTGTTCCAGTCTTCCTAGCTCATTCTAAATCCATCCTTCTCAAGCTCTGAGTAGGTCTTCGCAACTGTAAGGTCTTAATCCAGAGGGCCAGCTGATGGTTGGGTCTGCAGATCTTCCCAGACCAGCCAGCTGGATTACCCTGGAAGGCCAGCGTGGTGGACAAAGACCACCTTCGCTGGCATAGCCCGTCATAAAGAGGCTCTTCTCCCATTACCTGGCATGGCTCTGGCAAACAGCAGCTGGACAGATCAGCTTTCTAGGAACCGGTGTGTGCTGCATCTGCGTTCTACTACCCCCTGCTCTGTCCCAGGGAGGCCGACCCAAGCGCTGCAGCAACAGGCTCCCTGGCTTCCTGCTTCCAATCGGGCTCAGCCAATGGGGAGCGTTGCCAAGGGCCAAAAGTCCAGGACAGTGGGCTGGCCATGTCCTTTGACCAAAGGTCGTGAACCCTCTTGGGTGACCCTCCCTGTGCCCTGCTTCCGGGGCCCCTTCCCACCAGGTTGCCCAGTGCCACACCAGCCTGGCACTGCCCGTGCCCACCCTCCTCTTTCCAACAGTCCACGCATCATTAAGGGCTCTTGACCTCAGCCAACTGGAGGTCGCTGTCCTCTCAGCCCAGACTTGGCAATACACGCACAGAGCCCGCGGAGACCAACTCCACCACCACCCCTTAACCACGCAGGACTCCTTCCAAGGTGCCTGCCGGGGGGGCCCTGACCATGCAAGGTGTCCTCCATGTGGGTGACCATAGGGCTCCACCTGGCCCTCGGCTCCCTTCACACTGCCTTCCACTATCAGACACCTTCAGTGACAGGACGGGGATCAGGTCCTGTCCTTCAGGCTTTGGAGATGTGTCAGTCTCCACCGCCCACAGGGAGAGAACCTGGAAGGGGCATTGGCCCCTGTGACTGGGTGCTGGTTCCTCGCAGGGTGTCTGTGAAGGCTCCCTCTGCCATGATCCTTGTCCCTTTCCCTCTGTCCCACCCCTCCTCCTTCCACAGGTGAATCTCAAGCATCCTACGAGGTCCAGGGAAACACCTGCTATTCCCACGTGGGGCCCTCTCCTGTGACAACTCATCCCCTGCCTGCCCCTGCACCACAGCCTGAGTCCTTCCACGGGGACACGTCAGATTCAGCTGTGTTTCCCCCAGGCGTGCCCTCCCAGCCCCTACCCAGTCTGCAGCGGGAATCCAGGACCCGCCCTGTCCTGCAGCAATGAGCCCACCACTCAGCATCGCGTCCCCAGGAGAGGGGCCAGGCACTTGGGATCTCAGTGGCCCCCACCACCCAGAACCGGAATCTGGGTGCGGAGTGAAGGCAGCTCGGGACCACAGGACCCTCGGGAACCTGGGGGTCTCCCCCACTGCCGGGCTCGTGTGGGGCTCCGCCTGGCAGCACGCAGGGGCATCTTCTGCCCAGAACAGGCACTAACTTCACACACACAGGCTGTGTGTGTGTGTGTGAAATGAAACGGTAAAATCTGGAGACAGAAACGAGACCAGCAGCTGCCTAGGGCTGGGGTCTGGGGAGAAATGGGGAGTGGTAGCTAATGGAGACAGAGTTTCTTTAAAGAGAGATAAAAATGTTCTAAAATTGATCACAGTGATGGCTGCAGGAGGGCATAATGAACACCACTGGACTGCACAGGAAGGAGTGAATCGTGTGTTATGAGAAGTATGTCTCAATAAAGCCATGACAGACAAAAAGAATAAACAATGGTTTTCACCTCGCATCTGTGCGCCTGTGTATCCGTATGTACGTACTCAGTGTGTGCATGTGTGTGCACACGTGTATGTTCTTCCTTTTGTTTACCCAAAGCAACAAAATAATTCTCCGCCATCTTAAATACGCACACTGCCCTGCTGTGCGGACAACATCTGCTCAGCTGCTTCTGTCTTTTCCACGTTACTAAAACTAGAAGGAAACAACTGTCTCCACTTTTTTTTTTTTGTCTAAGTGACAATTTGCCTTCGGATGCTCCTCGCACCCTCCCTGCCTCTCCTTCCCAGAGAGAAAGCCCCGCAGCAGATGGCTCTCCATGCAGTGGCCTCAGGGACTGTCTCAAGGCAGTGGGCTGTCACATGAAGGACCACACAGCCTCGCTGAGCACCTACTGTGCGCCAGGCCTGTGGCCAGGCATGTGGGGAAGAGAATTCCAGTCATTTCAGACTCCCTATGAGGGAAGGGGTTTCAGAGATTTCTGGCATACTGCTAGAGAAGAAGGAGAGCTAGGCTGGTCACTGTCCCAAGTCACACAGACCCTGCATGGAGCTGCTGGAATTCGGGACGAGGACTACCTGACACCATGCCCAACCCATGCCACCTCTGCTGCTGCAGACCAAGGTCTCAGTCACTGGACCGCATGGCCTGCCACCCAGCCAGCCTCAGGAACGAGGACGACAAACCGACAGGCTCCCCAATTCCAGTAGGCCTGTTTGAGCCGGGTCCTGCCACCAGAAGACACCTGGGCACTGCTGGGATTCCTACCTCTGTGGTGAGCCCTCGGCTGGTCCCAGCCACCGGTCCTTTCCTGCCACCCTGGAGGCGGCACCTGCCTGCTCTGAGCCCCCACTCTGGGCTTCAGCCCTGGCTGCAGAGTGGAGGCCCTAGGCTGAGAGTGTCGGCCTGGCCTCACACACTGCTCTGACCAGGAGTTCGGAGCCCACCCGGAGGTCACGCAGACAGGGCCTGGATCCCAGCCTGGCCACTCACTCACCGGCTACCCAGCCCTGGCATGCCACCTCTGCAGCCCCTCTCTTCTTGTCTGGAATCCCCCCGGGCGGTGCTGCTTGGAGGACTGAATAAGATTAAATAGCCCCAACTGCAAAGAGAGTTACTCTTACTATGTCATAGTACAATGACTGGCTCTTGCTAAAGTTAATATTCATTAGCCTCAATTCCTGCTTTTAGGTGAAGAAACCGCAGTGGAGCCATTTTCCCAGAGGGAAACAGTCTGCAAGTTCCACAGATGGAACCCAGGCGGCCAGTACAGAATGCTAAACTGCCTCATCTCCTAGACCTGGGGAGCGCAGAGCAGGTGCACGTAAGGGGTGGGACACGCAGAGACGCACTCACGCCCGCGCCCACATGCCGCGCTGGCCCCCAGCCGTGGAATGGACACAGGCACACCCCAGCCGTCTCTGCATGCGACTCCACGGCAGGCACTCAGGGTCAGTATCTGGCTCGCACCCAAACAGAAAGCCACCTACAGACTCCAGGAAAGTGTGACACACACCCCACAGCCTGTGCCCACATGGCGAGGCCTGAGGCTGGCTCACACATCAGAGTCTCCAGAGCGGTCCCCACACCGCTTGCATCAGAATCTCCTGGGTACTTTTTAAAAATATAGATTCCCCGCCCCCACCTGCAGACCTGCTTAACCTGGGTGGGTGGTGTGAGGTTTAGCATTTTCTCGAGTGTCCCAATGACCCTGATGAGACCTGCTCTTACTGTCCAGTGGAGGCTGAGCCCCTGGGCACTAGCAACTGCACACACTGCTCAGGGACGGGGAACTCACTGCCTCACCAAACAGCCACACTGACCATCAGGCAGGCTCTGTCACATGCACACTACGGCCTCCTGAGCTGCTTCCACGGGTGCCATTCCCACTCGCCATGCCCCTCCGACATACTCCCACACCCTCCGAAGGTGCCCGGCCCTTGCGTGCTGCTGAGCAAGGGCCTCTGCAGGGGTCTCAGCCCACAGGCCCCACCTGACACCTGCTGAGGCTTCTGTGCATTTCCCTCCCCCCCGCAGAAAGCAGAAAGGGTTCATCTTGCCTGCGCCGCCCAGAGGTAGTCCAGCCGCAGCCTGACGTCCACCTGCCTGGCATGCAGGGCCAGCGCGCAGGAGAACAGCAGGATGGCCATGATCGGCTCGTAGCTGCGCCCAGAGACGGCACCGCCCCTGGTGGGAGATGAGGGAGAAAGCCAAGTCAGTGTTGAGCTTCCATGGCAAGACTCTGCCATCCAGCCAAGAATCAATGGGAGAGCGACCCTCCAGGGGTAACACCCACCAGCAGCTCATGGGGCTGACCCAGGCCTACAGCCACTTCTCACTGGGAGGTCTGAGGCCTTGCTAGAATCGGGGATAAAGAGATGAAACAGAGAAGCCACCAAACTAAACACTTTGTATATAATTAGGCCTTATTAAAAGCTTTATGATCAGCAGACTATAATACATAGCTGTATACACAGAATTTAGCAACATCCCCGCTCAGGGCTTTGTCTCCTGGCAGCCGCGTACTTACCCAGATCTGGTGTATCCGCTGAGCTCCAGGACGAGGATGTAGGATGTGGTGAGCCCCAACAGCAGGATCATTTTTGGCAAGGAGGACACCCGCAGGAATATGGCAAGCGGGAGGGTGCCCACCAGGCAGCAGAGCAGGGCGTGGTGCGCAGACTCGCAGGGCAGGGCGGGCAGCGCTGTGCGCCGGCCCCCAGATGAGAAGACCACCAGGGTACTGTTGGGCTTGGAGTTCCAGGCCCAGGGCAGGCAGCCCACCTGGGAAGGAGGGGGCGCAGGAGCTCAGGGAGGCCGGGCCTCAGGATGCACAGCTGCTCCTCCTCTCACAGCTGCCCCCAGGCCTCCGGCCTCCCACCAGCTCCCCACTGGCTCCTGGGGCAGCCAAGAGGCCCACGAGGACCAGGTAGTGTCCCCAGCATGGCAGCTCCGTCCTGTTATTCCTCCCCACCCCCGTCCTCTGTGTACTAGGAAGGAACAGGCTCGCCCTGTACCAGGGGGAGGTGTCATCCCCTCTGCTAGATGAGGTCTCTCATTCCCTCCTTCTCTGGGCAGCCCTAGCCTGTTCCTGACATCTCTACTGGCCGGCCCCGGCCTCCCGGGCTGGCTCTGCAGGGTGTGCCCTCTCCCGCCCGCCGCCCGCCGAGGGCCAGAGATGCTCACCACACATCCTTGGGCTACCGAGTAGATTAAGACCACTATGAAAATACACAAGACAGTGCGGATCTGAATCGTCAGGCACCCTGGAAAACACTGGACAAGAAAATATTAATTTAAAAAATGTCCTCTGATTACCAAGCTGATTCACACGCGCAGTAAACAATTCACACGACAGAATGAGAAGAGCAAGCCCCACGCCACTCGATCCACGCCCAATTTTCATCCTCCACACAGATTTCTTGGCTATTTTCACATACTTGCTCGCCCAGGTGAAAAATTTGCCAAGGTTAAGAAAAACACCTGAAGGCTTCAAATTAAAAAGACCCCTCCCTCCCTGCCTCCCTCCACTGGGCTCTATGACGTTGACTGGCACTGAAATGAACTAAATGATAGATTAACTTGACATTCTCAGTACGTGGAATTCTTCCATCTCAGAAATGCTATGAGTTGCCATTCATTTGTGTTTTCTTTTACATGCTGTAAATTAGTTTTATCATTTTATGCACACAGGTTTTATATAATTCTTAATGTATTAGAAATTTTACTCCAAACCTATTAACTTTAAATCATCTTGAAATATTCAACAAACAATTTCATGGATAAAAGTAAGAAGCCCTTTTTACCCTCACACTTACATTCTGACTTAGAATATAAACTAAAATAAATACCTACATGGACCTTATAGAAAACAGCAACTAACCCCGACAGAGCTGTGACTGCCAGGGTGCCCTCAGCAGGCTGTCTGAGTTAGTCTTTAATCCTCATTCCCACTCTACAGTGACCACCGAGCCCAGTAACACGTATTCTCTGGATGAAGACAGGGAGGTGTGTCCCAGCTCACTCAGCTGGTGGTTACAGATTGGGCCCCAGCTCCGGGTTCCCTGAGTTCCAGCGCTGTCGTGTTCCACCTGAAGACGGGTCTCCGCTCTCTACTCAGGAAGGAGAGCCCCTCTCCAGCAGCACGAGGCCCAGACACTTGATTGACTTTGGCTTAGTGCACTTCCCTCCCCTGGGCAAGAGCCAGGTTCAAATCACTGATCCAGGCCTGCCATGGGGCCTTAAAGCCTGACACTTAACCACGAGCCACCAAGCTCCGTGCAACTTGAGCTTCCCTCTTGAACTGGGAGTTACCCGACCCACCAAGCCTTGAAGGCGGGTGTGCACAGCAGCACTCCACCATCAAATGGAAGTGGTACACATGTGATTGGGCACAAGTGGCCCAAATGGTCATGGTCGCCACTCCCCCTGCACTGCCTTCTCTCTCCCAGCCTGCACCTACGGCTCCTGGGGAGTTCCCCATGATCCACTGGCAGGGGAAGACATGATGCAAGCCTGGTGCCAGGCAGCTGTGCTCTGGCACCATGGGCAAGTGTCCAGTGGCAGCACTACAGCCCCTGTCCCTAGGACAGTGGTAAAGGGCAGTCCTCCCAGCGGGCAGACCTTTGGGCAGTGCACCTGGGGGTGCCTTTTGCTTGGAAGGAGAAATAGCCAGATGTATGGCTAGTTCTGATTCAGGAGCTGTGGCCTGCGGTTTGGCTGGATGGTCGAGGACTTGGAGAAACATGACTGGAAATTGGTGACAAGAAGGTCTGGGGAAGAGGCAAGTGGATACACCTCTCTGAATGGGCAAAAAAAATGTGACGGTATTTGTGTTGTATGTGTATGCTCACCAAAGGGAGGGTTCTAATAATCAAATGGGTAATGTGTCCCATTTTGTGGATACCAGCCTCTTTCTCTAGCCACCCTGTCATCATCCAATGGGTACAGAAGCCAAGTGGCCACGGTGGCAAGGATGGAGGTTTTGATGGGCTCAGCAACATGGACCTCCACTCCCCAAGGTGCGCATGGCTACGGCCACTGCACCGCATAGGTACAGGAAGGGGCATGTGTTGATATAAGTCACCGGTCTTACCGCTCCATCACCCTGGCTTCATGGAACGGTAGAGTGGCCTTCTAAAGGCTCAGTGACAGCACCAGCTAGGTGGCAGCCTCTTGAGGGGCTGCAGCAAGGCTCTCCAGGACTCAGCACATGCTCTAAATCAGCACCCAATGCTGGCAGTGCTTGTGTTGCATGGTAGTGAGTGGCTGTTAAAATGACCATGCAAGCTGAAACCATGCAGAGTGACTTTGATAATCAATGGGATAGATTAGGATTGTCCCAGGACCCTTAGAAACTTTTGTCAAAATATCAAAAACCCTGTCAGTTATAAACATATGGAGAAATTTTTACAAAACTAATAAATCTAACATTTATTAAGCATACTTGGAATAGTTCTAAAACGGGACCCAAGATTTCTCACTCTAATTCCTGAGCCAGTGACTCTGAGGAGCTATCAGGCCTATGACTATGTCACATTACATAACAAAAGGAATTCTGCAGAAGTAATTACGCTTACTATTCAGGTGACTTTGAGTTACTCAGAAAGGAGTACCCGGTGCATCTAATCTAATTACATGAGGCCTTTAAAAGCAAAGAGTTTTCTTTGCTGTGCAGAAGTTTTTTAGTTTGATGCAACCTTATTTGTCCAGTTTTGCTTTTGTTGCCTATGCTTTTGGGGTCATATCCAAGAAATCATTGCCTATACCAATGTCATGGAGCTTTTCTCCTATGACAGAGTTAATAGAGTGAAGAAATAACCAATGGATTAGAAGAAAACATTTGCAAACCATACATCTAATAAGGGGTTAATATCCAAAATATATAAAAAACACACACAACTCAATACCAATAAAACAAATAACCCAATTAAAAAAACAGGCAAAGAATCTTAATAGACATTTCACAAAAGAAGACATAGGAACAGCCAACAGGTATATGAAAAAATGCCCAACATCACTAATCACCAGAGAAATGCAAATTAAAACTATAATGAGCTATCACCGCATACCTGTTATAATGACTGTTCTCAAAGATTATGAAAGAAAAGTGTTGGGGAGGATACGGAGAACAGGCAACACTTGTACACTGTTGGTGGGAACATAAATTAGTACAGCCATTATGGAAAACAGTATGGAGGTTCCTCAAAAAATTCAAAATAGATCTACCCTACATGATCCAGCAATTCCACTTCTAGGTATATATCCAAAGGAAATGAAACCAATATATCAAAAAGGATTATCTATACTACCATGTTCACTGCAGCACTATTCACAATAGCCAAGAGATGAAAACAACCTACCTACAATCAACAGATGGATAGATAAAGAAATGCACACATGCACTATGGAATACTATTCAGCCTTGAAAAAGAAGGAAATTCTGTCATCTGTGACCACACGCATGAACTTGGAGGGCATTAAGTTAGGTGAAATAAGCCAAGCATAGAAAGAAAAATACCGCGTGATCTGACTCCTGCATATGTGGAGTCTAACAGACTCAAATTCACAGATGTAAGAGCAGAATAGTGGTTACCAGAGGCTGGGGGCAGGGAGGGTTGGGAGATAGAGAAAAAAATGAACATTTTAGTCAAAGAGTACCAAGTTCCAAAAAGACAGGAAGAATACATTCTTGTGACCTATTGCACAGCAGGGTGACTACAGTTAATAATAATGTGTTATATACTTGAAAATTGCTGAGAGACTAGACTTCAAATGTTCTCCCCACAAAAAATGATAAGCGTGTGAAATGATGGATATGTTAATTAGCTTGATTTAATAATGCCGCAATGTATGTACACATATAACATCGCACTGTACCCCATAAATATATGCAATTATGATTTGCCAATAAAAAATAAAATTTAAAACAAAAAATAAATAAAATCAGTTTCCTCTGGCTGGCAACAAAGGGGGAGGCAGGGAAGTTAGAAGCCCCCGCTGCGCTTGGAGCCAGAGGGGGCGGGGGCGGGGTCTGGGTGTGGGCCCTGGGCAGAAACGAGCCGTTTGGATCAAACTACCCGGGCTCTCCGTCCTCTGGTTCCTCTGGACCCAGGAGCCAATAAATCCCCTTTCTCGTTTCAGGTGGGTTGAATGGGCTATTCAGTTACTTGTAAAACGTGACTGAGGCTCCACAGACTTTCTGGAGGGCGGAGGCAGCTTTGGGAGGCTGGCTGCCCCGGACACGCCCTGGGCGGAGGGCTGTGGCCACCAGCCCCGGAGTATTTCGGATCCTCTTCACGCAATGCTCAATACCTGATCCTGTGAACGTGCAATCAAATACGTGAGAGTTAAACTGCCTCTCCAGAAATCGAACGGTGACGACCCCAAGGAGCAGCGCGGAGCTGGATCCGCTTTGCCGTGCTCCTGGAGGAGCAGAACAGACAAATGAGAGGCAGCGAAGTCTGTTGTTTTGAAGTTGGAGGGGCCGCTCTTTTTGTTTTAATAGTTCATCTGGGTAATGCTTATTGGTTCTTTTTCATAAGCAAAACGGAAAATGAACGTCCGCAGTCAAAAATGGCATGAAAATAGCTTGTGGAAATATAGAAAAAAAAATAGCTGCTCTCATACGAACAATGGAAAATTCCCCAAGAATGTGACCTACATTCAATCAAACGCAAAGCCAGCAGGTTGCTGGTTGTTACTGACACCCTCAAAGCACGACGTCGAGGCAGGTACAAATGACAGCAACACCGATTCAAAGTGACTGCAGCCACAGCGCAAGTGAGCATTCCGGAGCATCAGCCCCTACAGGACTGGGCTGCTCCCCACACGAGCTGAATTTAAGAAACAGACCCCACAAGTGGGAGGAGCCCACAAATACAACCGGTGTGCAATCTTTGAGCAAAACGCCACAGTGCTGAGGGGAGGATGCAGACAGCCAGCAGTGTAGACCATCTCCCTGCGGAGGTGACGCTGGGAGGATGACGCCTTCCCGGTGCACAGCTGCCGGGCTGTAGGGGCTGCAACGGTTTAGACAAACGCAACAAGGAGCGGTGTTTCCGTCTACCCTTTCTACACCTGCATCCGTCTCCACTCAGCCCTCACCACGCTGCGTAAGGCATTAAGGCAAAATAGGAACACGTCTGGGGCGCCAGGGGTGGCCGGGAGACAGGCGGGTCAATGCTTATCACAGCCTGGTGAAAGGAAGGGAGGCAGCAGGGCCCTTCCTAGTTTTCTGATGGGGCGTCGAATTAAGAAACAAATTTCCTATGACTGCCCCTTCCACCACAACTGAGGCAGGACCCCCAGCCCTGATGCAGGACGATGGTTTTCATTCATTTCCAGTGCATGCCTTTGTAAAGACACAGCCGCTCACACCTCACAAAAACTGATTTCACAACCTGCGAGGGAGTTGCAATTTGAAGTTTCAACAGTAGTGACTTAATTTATGCTCAATAAATAATCTCAATCCCACACAGACACGGACTCGGAGCCGCTGGGGGACTGAGGCAGAAGAGGATGTCACGCGAGGACGGGAGGAAAGAAGAAGCAGGTGCCATTTCCTGGCTGCCTGCACTCGCAGGGGCCAAAAGGAAGCCCTTTGGTTTGTCTCTGGGGGTCACCCACTCCCCTGTGTGCTTCGAGCCCCTCGCCCCCATCTTTAAGGACATCTGCACAGGTTTTCTAATTTTCTGTTCTTCAAAGCCATCGAGTTTAACTTGAATATCGTAACTGGTACAAATCTTGCCATCGAAATCCTGCCTTCGAAACCCCGCACCCTGGAGCCAGGCCCAGAACGGGACATGAGCCTTGGGGCACTTCCCTCTACCCCAGCCAGCCCAGGCGGGCCCAGCGCCCCCGAGCCCATCCCCTCTGCCTTCCTTCCCTTAGTGCTCCTGGAAGACGGGATGTGGAACAGCTCACTGAGCAGTAAGGCAGAGGCAAGGGAGGACGGGAGCAAGGCTCAAGGGCAAGCCTGTCAGCACCAGGCCAGTGCGGAGCAGCCTGCCCAAGGCACACCCTAGCCACCCTGAGCACCACGCCATGCTCACGTCCCCAGGACCCAGCCAAGTGTCTCCCAACCTGCCTGATGCCAGGTGACCTTGGCCTGCCCTGTCCACAGCACCCTCGGCCCCACCTGGGGCCTGGCCAGTATGGCCCCCCGGCTACCCCTTCTCCTGCCCCTCCCCTTCCTCTCTAGGCCCAGCATCCGACCCTCAGCCCGGCAGTCCTACAGTCTCCCCACCACGCCTCCACCAGGGCTGGCACCGCTACCGAGTCCACCCCCGTCCCTGCTGGGTCCTTGCGTCCAGCCAGTCCAGCTCTGCCCCTTTCGATTCCCAGCAGGACCCTCGGGCCGGCGGCTCTCCCAACCTCCGCAGATGACAAAGACAGACCCTGCAAGTCCTCCCCACTTCCAGGACCAACAGGATGAGAAACCCCCGCTGACTCCTGGGATGGGCTCCACCCAGGAGCTCTTTCTCTCCTCGGCCTTTTCCCTCTTACTCGATTTCAGGACACCCCAACCGAGCACGTGGTATGCCAGGTCCCGCGCCACGGACTTCACACCAGCTCACTGAATCCTCGTGGCGGCCAGCGAGGTGGGGCCCATCATCACCCCAGTTCAGAGAGGGCAACACTGAGGCCTGGAGAGCTGGAGCCCAGTGCCCAGAGCTGGCACATGCCCGAGGGACGAGGGAGCCAAGTGGGTGGCAAAGGTTCCAAGTGGCCACGGAGTTGCCACACCCACCCTGGACACAGTGATTGTGGACACTGCCGACATCAGGGAGGAAAACCTCTCTGTCCTGTTGATGCCACGGGCTTTCTCGGGGTGTGTTCTGGCAACTAGGTCTAATCCTGCCCATGTGACCAGCCACACCCACTCACATCTCCTCCTTGGCCGCGCTGGCCTTCCGCTGGGCGGGCATGCCCTCCGCCTGCTGGCCTCCCCTGCAGCTCTCCAGCCTCCATCCTGCTGCCGTCCCAGTGGCTGGCGCAGGACTCTGCCACGTCCCTAGTCACCCCCTGGGGGATGCTCAGAGCCCAGCTCAGGGCCGACAAACGCGCCTAAGCCCGTGTTGGTGCACCAAGCCCTGACCCAGTGCACGCTGCTGTGAGCTGCGTCCGCCTCCTGTCCTAGCTGGGAAGTTGGGCACCTGGGCTCCCGTCGGCTTCCTGCACACGGGCCACAAGTGCCACTCTGGGCTGCTCCCCGGAACGTCCGATCCCTGCGGCTTTTTGAGCCTGGAGCTTCCAAAACACATACTTAGTAAAAAAAAAAAAAAAAACACTGCACACTTGCTTACAGGAGAGGACGAGAAGGGGGAGTGGATATTCAGAGAGAGAGGACCTTATGGAGCCCAGGGCGGAGCCCACCAAGAGAACGAAATAACGGAGTCAGGGAGACGCTACACGGGTTAACATAGGCTGACTTACTTTTAATATAACCACCCAGGAATGATGCTGGCTGAAGTTTCCAGCCATGAGGGCAGCTGCCTTAACAACAGAGAGGGGACGATTCTAGGCAGTCACGGGGCCCCCATCTCCCAGGACATGTGTTTTGTGGACCCAGGAGGTTTTTAAAATTTGAGTATTATTTTTATGGACAAGTCGGTGCAGATTTTGCTTGCTGGTCACATGAACATGTCTTCTGGTGGAGTCATGGGAAGTGCTGTAATCTACTCATGAGAACCAATATCCTGGGAGGGGGCCAGCTGGGCAGGGCCTCCCAGGCTGGTGCAGTCCTCAAGTCCTGCTTCGTTCCTTTTCCCCAGCGGTTTCTTACACTTTCTGCACGACTTACGCTATGTGCACACCATGCAGGGGGTCTGCACGCTGGTTCCCACCAATGGGGACAAAGCGATAGGCTTGAAAAATTATTATCCATCTTTCACGCTCTCACTTAAAATTATATGAAATCATTTGAAGTGGGAAATTCCAAAGTTCACCACACCAAAAGGCCACCCAATCTACAAAACTCAAAGAACTGGGAATGCAATCTTAATAGTTCGCATTTTTTAATTGAAAAAATTAAGACATTACCTATGAATAATGACAAAGTTAAATGAATAAACATGAACTTCATCTTTTCAAAAAGTTTCCGTTTTCAATAATTATGCAAAAATAATACTGTGTCTGCCAGAAGTGACACCTGGGGCAGGCTGGGGAAATGGAGCATTTGGAAATGAAGGTGGAGAATGTGACAAAGGAACGCAGAACTAGAAAAAACAGAGTCCTCTGCAGTGAACCATGGGTGGTGCAAGGCTGCAAAGCTCAAGCTTTTGCTCTAAAAGTCCATGAGAGCAGAGCAGATAAAGCATCACCTGGAGAAATGTCACCCCCCAAGTCTATAACACGAACATACGAAGAGCTATCCCACTCCTGTCCCCCTGTGGACTCTCCATTTGCAGGAGAACTGGATCAGTATCTGTGTTCATTTATTTGCTCGGCACACTCACCAGCCCACTGTGCCTGTCAGGCAGGCTCCCAAAAGAGTGCACACCCAGTGCACAACTGGGAATTAATGAGCACCTGCTACATCAGCAGATGCTTCCTGCCATGGAGGGTGAGGGGACAGAATTACCTTCTCTGTCCCACCTGTCCTGCTGAGAGGGAAGGCAGAGCCCAGTCACATAGTTGGACCAAGAGACATGTAAGTACAGGACACACACCACCCAAGCACCTGGAACAGGTGATGAGCACGAGCAGGACACAAGCCACCCACATACCTGGACCCGGGTGATGTGCAGGTACAGGACACAGGCCACCAGGAAGCAAATGGAGAACACTAGCAGGAGCAAGACAGCCACACTCCTGGAGTACAGAAGACATGAGGGTCACTGCCAGGCAAGCACCAGGAGAGGGGGACCTAAGAGGTACCTGGAAATCAGCACCTCCTCTAATCCCCTGAGCCCCCAGGAGGAAGCAGTGTCATTGACACAGCTGCCTGCACTCTGGTCCCTGGGGACTTGCCCACAGTTCTCTTCTAGGGGAGGGCATCTGTGGCTCCTGGTAGAAGGGGCCGTTCCTGAGCCCACCCCACCCATTTCTACTACCCTCACCCCCAAAAGCTAGCCTGGGCTGAGAGTCATAAAATTTTCTGGAAGCCCTTTTCCTCATGATGAAAAGATAGGAGTTGCCCAGATTTTGCTGAACCGTCCTCTTGCTGGGCTTTGCCTGGGAAGGGCATTTTTAGGAAAGCCTTAATCTCCAAATAGGGCCATAGATAGGGCAGTGGCTATGTTCCAGCATCCGGGGCTGGGTGGGATGCAGAGCACCCCAGACTGAGGTTCCTCCTCCTCAGCAGGTGTGGGCGGCTTCCAGGTGCTTTCTAGAATCTCAAAGGAAATATTATTCCCATAGGCAGGTTTCATTAAGAAACGGGAATGTCTGGAAGAAAGTAGTGAGTGGCGACTGTGGTGTCTTTCTTGCCAAAAAACGAAAGCTGCCAAACTCACGTGGACTCACATGATATTTAAATGTTATGAAAATCACTATGTTTTTCTTCCTCTTCAGAGGCTGCTTTTTCTTATTTTAATGTTTCTGAAAATGACATGGACCCAGAAACCAATGAGCCTATTTGGTGCACCGTTTGTTTTCACCCTCAAAAGCGATTATTACGGCAATGGTGCATGTCGCAGGACTGGAGAAACTGAAAATATACAACATCTTAGAATTGAGTCAATTCAGAATTAAAAATTGAAAGTGGCCAGCCTCACGCTGTATGCCATCAAGGCTTGCTAAATGGAGACCTGCTGGGTGGCCAACGTCTCCCCTAAATGTCAGGCTCAGTGGGAGGTGAACTTTGAACATAGGAAAGGAAACACAGTCACCAACCCCATAAAACCTGGATTTCTTGGGGACCCTCCCATCTCCCCGACGCACATACGTACTGTGGGATTATCAGAAGGTAGACAAGGCCAAATAAGGCAGCCAGGATGAGGGCAAGGACGACAGCGCTGGTGAAGTACTCGTCCTGAAGCTGGTGGTACTGTGAGAGAGAGAGGTCGCTCCGTCAGCGGCTCCCTCGAGACGGGCCGTGCCTTCTCAGATGGCACCAGGGAAGTTTAGAACCAGAGCCACTTACCTTTTGCTCCCGTTCCACATGTTTGTACTTCAGGGTAAAGAAGTTCAGGTCCGCCATCTCCAGCTCTGTCTGGCGGGCTTCCAGGAGGCGGCTGATGTACCTGTTGACGCGCGTGCCTGGGGTGGTGTAGACAACGTTGGCAGAGAAGGACGAGCGGTTTCTGAGCTTCTCTGAGGCTGTTCTCAATGCCCTCCTCTGCAGCCATCATGGAAATAAAGGCATATCATCAAATTCTCCACTTGCTGAAGAAAAGCCCCTGTACTTTCTCTCCAGCCTGTGACCTCGCCCCCAGCAGGCTGAAGGCAGGCTCTGGGATCCCAGTTACAGCCATGGCCCTGCCCTACTGGCCGTGGGATCACTGGTGAGTTGTCTCAGCAGTCAGTGTTGGGGTTCCCACATCTGTATTAGGGGTCACAGGGCACCTGTGTGATGGTGCCACAGCGAGGGTTACAGGATTCCACACGTGTGTGGTGGTGAGAACAGCACCCGGCACAGAGCAGGCACCTGCGCTCATGCAAACCCAACACATGCAGAAAAGACGCCCCGGAGTTATAAGAACAGGAGTTCCACCATCTCCTTCTAAGAGGGAGAAATGGTGCCAAGAGAAGTGACTCTGCTTATCTTTCACTCTGGCCAGGGCTAATGGGAATGGACAGTGAGCCTCTCCTCACAGCCTCTGTATGTCACATGAGGGGTACAAGAAAGCCCCCATTTGCCAAAAGGAAAATAGAATCTGATGTAAAAGCACCTGCCACAATCTGATTATCAGTGCTTCATAAATAGGGCCTCTGGTACTTAACACATTTGAGGAAAAAATAAGAGTATTAAAAAGAGGCTATCCATTTGGTTCCAAAAAATATAGAATAAACACATTTCTTTTTATTTATACTGAATGGTAAAAACACTGTCAATACATATAAAATAAACACAAGAAGACTATGAAAGGTGGAGAGAACAGAGGAGCCTCTAACAACCTTGGAACTCAAAGAAAAATTGTGTGCTTGTGTGTGTGCGTGTGTGTGTGTGTGTGTGTGTGTGCATGCTGTGGGGTTTCCTTTTGCTTTACTTATCCCAGAGCAGAAACTGTAAAAGCCAGCAACCCAAAAATACCATTAGGTGCAGACAGAATTTTTTAAAACTTAAAGAAAAGCCTGTTCTTTCTAGTCAAAGCACCAAGAATGGGGTAACCAAGCAAAACAAAACTTTGAGACGATAACCAACCTTTTGTACACAAAGATTATGAAAAAAAATCTGTGACCCCAGCCCCCACCCAACCAGCAAAGGCCACATGTGAACTCTCGAATTTCACTCTCTTTAGGCTGTGAGGAGGCACAACCAAGCCCCCACTGAGGTAGCGCTAGAAAAAGCAGAATAAGGAGTCAAGATTTTTACCTCTATCGGGTAGTAATAAGCCTCCACTTGTGTTGCCAGTGGAGGCCTGATGAGGAATATGAATTTCCATATCTGCTCAAGAGTAACAAGATTCCCCTGGCCCCCAGGTGTCATGGAGCATGAGTAGAGAACCTGGAATTTCACCCCAACCACCTCATTGGTACAAAGTCTGAGGAGATCTGATAAAACAGATTCAATAAGGCATGGAGTCTCATTACATAATACCCAAAATGTCTAGGGTACAATAAAAATAAATCACTCATCATACTAAGCCCTAGAAAAATCTCAACTTGAATAAGAAATATAATCAACAGACACTAACATCAAGATGATATAGTTGTTAAAATTATCTGACAAGAATTTTAAAGCAGCCATCAAAAATGCTTCAATAAGTAATCATGAACACATTTGAAACAAATTATGGAAAGTCTCAGTAAAGAAAGATAACGTATAAGGAAAAACCAGATAGAAATTGTAGAACTGAAACATATTATACAATAACCAAAATAAAAAACCTGATGTATGGGCTCCACTGCAGACTCTAGTGCATAGATGAAAGAGTTCTTCAACTTAAAGACAGAGTAACAGATATTATCCAATTTGAACAATAAAAAGAAAACAGACTTTTATAAAACAAAGCGTCTGGAATTATGGGATAAAAATAAAAGATTTAACATTCATTCATGTCATTGGAGCCCAGAAGGAAAAGAAAAAGCATGAGACTGAACAAACAGTAGAAGAAATAATAGCAGAAAATTCCTAAGTTTGGCAAAATATATAAATCTATAGATTGAAGCAAGTGAGCAAATCTCAAGCAGGATAAACGCAAAGAAATACAGGCCAAGACACATCACAATCAAACTTCTGAGAACAAAAGACAAAGAAAAAATCTTAAAAACAGTGTGAGAAAAGTAACACTTGATTTTTAAAAGAAAAAAGAAACAACTACAATGATAGCAAATTTCTTTTCAAAAACCATGTAGGCAAGGAAGAAATGGGAAAGCATTTTTCAAGTACTCAAAGAAAAGAACTGTCAATGCAGAATTCTATATCCAGAAAAAATATACTTTAGAAATGAAGGAGAAACAAGAATGTTTTTAGATAAGAAAAGTAGACAGAATTTGTAATCAACCTAAAAGAATATCAAAAAGTAGTTATTGAAACAAAAAAAAGGAAATGGTAAGAGAAGGTTGTTGGAATATAAGAAAGGAAAAGATGAACAAAAAATAAAAATATGAGTAAATGGGTAATAGACTTTCCTCCTCTTATGTTTTCTACATGATATTTGCTGGTTGAACCAAAAATTTTAAATTTATCTGATGCAGTTCTAAAGGTATATATAGGAAATATTTAACACATTTACACTACAAATGAAAAGGGGAAATGGACTTAAAGGGAGGTGAGTTTTCCACAACAAAACTGTTAAAATGTTGATATCAGTAGACTGTCATGTTATACCAAAATAATATATATCTAAAGCAAGCACTAAAAATCCTATATAACAAGACACACTCAAAACAACTATACATACATCAAAATGGAATTCTAAAAAATGTTCACATGAAGAACAACAACATAGCAAAAAGAAAATAGAGAAATGAAAACAGAAGGAACATAAAACAAAAGTAAATAAATAAAATGGCAGACTTATCAATAACATATCAATATGTTGATAACTACATTAAGTGTAAATGGTCTAAATATACCAATTACAAGAAATGATTTAACAAACATAATCCAACTATATGCTATCTATTTAATAAAAGAAACTCACATCAAATATAACAATATAGGCAGGTTAAAACTAACAGAACAGAAGTGACATACCATGCAAACATTAATCTAAAGAAAGTATGAGGGGCTATACTGATTATCAGAAAAAGCAGATATTAGAGCAAAAAAAAATTATTACTCAAGGACAGAGAGGGCATTACATAATGGTTAAAGGGTCAATGCAAAAGGAAGACATAGAAATCCTAAATGTGTATGCATCAAACAATAGAGCTTTAAATTACAAGAAGCCAAAACTGACAGAACTTAAGGAGAAATAGACAAATTCTCAGTTGTAGTTGGAGATGTCAACATCCTTCTCCCAACAATAAATAGAACTAGATAGAAAATAAGCAAAGATATAGATGAACATAATACCACCATCAAGACCTAATTAACATTTACAGAATACTCCATGCAACAACAGCAGAATACACGTTCTTTCCAAGTGCCCAAGAGTGCCCAAGTGTCTTAGTATATAAGACAGACCATATCCTTGGCCATATAATAAAACTCAACAAATTTAAAGTAATTGAAATTATACACATTATGTGTTCTCAGACCAAAATGGAACCAAATTAAAATCAATAACAGTACGATAACAGAAATATCTCTCCAAGCACTTCTAAATAAGCCATTGGTCAATGATGAAGTCTCAAGGGAAATTAAAAAAAAAAAAAACTGACCTGAGTGAAAATTAAAATGTAACATATCAAAATCTGGGGATTCAGCTAAAACAATTCTCAAAGGAAAATTAATAGTACTAAATACTTACATAAGAAAAAAGGAAAAGTCTCAAATCAATAATTTAAGTGCCATGTTAACAAACTACAAAAAAAATACAAATAAACTCAAAGCTAATAGTAGAAAGAAAATAATAAAGATAAGAGAAGAATTTGAGGAACATAAAAAAGAGAAAAAAATCAATGAAACAAAAATCTGATTCTTTAAAATTATCAATAAAGTTGACAAATCTCTAGCAAGTCTGACAAAGAATTACGAGTGAAAAGATACTAACAAATGCATAAATGAAATGTGATTTTACTAAATACTCTGCAGATATCAAAGGAATAATAAAGGAATACTATAAACAACTCTATGCACATAAATGTGACAACTTAGATCACATGAACTACTCCTTGAAACACAAGAACTACCAAACTCACTTAACACAAAGAGTAAACTAAATAACCACATAATTACTAAAGAAATTGACTTCATAATTTTAAAATTCCCGAAAAAGTAAACTCCATGCCCAGATGATTTCACTGAAGAATTTTAGCAAATATTTAAAGAAGAACTGATACCAATTTTACCCAATCTCTTCCAGAAAATAGAAAAGGAAGCAATACTTCCCAACTCACTTTATGAAGTCAGTATTACCCAGATACCAAGACTGTACAAAGACAGTACAAAAAAGGAAAACTACAGGCCAATATTCCAGATGAATACAGATGCAAAAATTCTTAATATTAGTAAATAAAATTCAGCAATATATAAATACACCATGACCAATTCTATGGATGAAGGCTAGTTAAATATTTGAACATCAGTTTAAATCTACTACATGAACTGGTTAAAGAAGAAAAGTCAATTGATACAGAAAAGTCATTTGACAAAATTCAATACCCATTCATGATAAAAATTATCAGAAAACTAACAATTGAGGGGAATTTCCTCAAATTGATAAAGAATAAAAATACCTATGGCTAATACCATACTTAATGGTAAAAGATTGAATACTTTCTCTCTATAATCTGGAGCAAGGCAGGGATGTCTGTTCTCACCACTTTTATTCAACATAGTACTTCAGACCCCAGCAAGTGCAGTAAGGCAAGAAAAGGAAATAAAAGGTATACAGATGGAAAGGAAAATATAAAACTATCCCTATTTTCATATGCTATTCATTGTATACATGGAAAATCCCAAGGTATATACAAAGAAGAAAAAAATACCTCCTAGAACAAATAAGTGAGTTCCACAAGGTCATAAGATACAAGACAAATATTTAAAAAGATGGTATTCCTTATATT